AAAACGGATATCAGCAATTCTGGCTGCAAAACAATATATCCGTTACTTATCCCGTATTGTGGAATGTAGCGAGGAAATTTTTAATTTCCTTTCCATCGTCATACCTAGTGGAAAGGGGGTTCAGCGCTGTGAAGAATCTCCTAACGAAAAAAAGAAAGACTGGACATCATTAGCCGAGGAAATTTAAGATTAACCCTTACAAAATTGACGCCAAATGTTGATAATTTATTAAAGCATCAGGTTCATACTTCTCACTAAAAATATTGACTTATTGCTTATTTTATTTTATTTATAGTTTATTTTATGTTTATTTAATGCTACGTATATTTTACATAACAGATACAAAATTTTATTTTGAGTATTTTTAATTTAAATTCAATTAATAAATGTATAAATTAACATGTGTTTTTACTTTAAGTTTTTAACACTAAACTTCACTACAGTTAGAAATTTACAGGAAATCAATATCAGGTAAGTATAGGGGTCTACCCAACACGGAAAAACATGGCAAGGGGTCTACGACACAAAAAAGTTTGGGCAACTCTGCTCTAGTGGAATAAAAAAAACTGTTATCCTATGAATATTTATTTATAATCTACATTCATTTCGTACGCCATTTTCACGTGAATTTTGTTGTGTTGATCTTTGGATTTTTCTAATGTTTTAGTATAGTGATTTATTATGAAATTTTAATGAAAGTTTTTGTGTGAATATAATTTATCTTTTTACGTAAATAATTTAGAGTAATATATATTGAAATAATTGTGATTTTCACGCTGCCGACATTCACTTGGTATCTTTTTTTTTTTGTTATCAAAATACAATAAAATCCTTTTGTAATGAAGTAAAACCTGACTTTTGTTTAGACCACAAGATAGAGAATTTTGTGTAGATTTTATAATGCTAAACTTCTTCCTAGAAAAGTAGTCTCTAAATATAAGTTTTATTGGTTTTAAATGCTGTGGGTGGGTGCCGTTGCATGCGACCGCTCGGTATTTGCCGGGCGCATGCGACTGCATGTGATTTTTGTGGCGTTTGAAAGGTTAATATGAGATTTATCCGCCTTACTGGATGATTTAACACTCAATCAGATTGGAAACATGTGACTTCCACATTACGGTTTTAGGAGAAGCGTTATACAATGGGTAGAGCCAAGTGATAAATTTGGCGCTCACGCGTCTAATATTGAAAAGTTAATTAAAAATTAATATGTGAGCATTCCATTTAAGTTTTTTCTAGGAATTTTGGTAATACTCTATATTGTTATACCTTGTTGGATAAGTGAAGAAACTTAGATATTTTTAGTATATCTGCAACATACTTACCTGCTATAGATTTTTTTAAATATTCCTCAAAGAAAAAAAATACTTTGTACAAATTGATTTCCTTTTTCAACTACTAATTGTCTTCTTCGAACCAGATTGTTTAATTACCTAAGATCTTGGTATTTAAAATAATAAATCAACTTATCTATTACACAAAAATTATAAAAAAATAAAACAAGATGCACAAATTTCAAAAAAATTAGTGCAAAAGACAAAAAATTAGCAATATTTATAAAAATCTTAAATATCCAATATCTTGAAAACGGTTAAGTTTTGGGTATGGTGTTTCATAGTCGAAACAGTCAGAAACGAAGCAAAACTACAACCCCCTAAAGGATCTAGGTCAACTATGAACTTGAGTGGCTGTCGTCATCAACAGTCGGCTGGGTTGAGCTGTCGTCAAAATCTCCTAAAAACTTCGCAATGTGGCGCATCAGCATATTGTGAAGAAAAAATATATAAAATGAAGATTCTGAAAGAAATGATAGGCTCATAAGGGCTAGTACGCAGAGCCTATGTCTTTTGAAACTACGTCGAATAGACTTATAGTTACGTTAGTACTCTTATTAGTTTGTGCTTATAGTATATATAGCATGGAGTATAGAGGTAAGGAGGACAATTTCCCATAGGAGAATAGTTGAAAATGTGTCCGTCTGCAAGCAGTAAATAACAGTTCATCAGTATCAGCCATAATACATCAATTTCATAAGCTACTCCGCAATGATGCAGCGTGGACTTGGGATCAGCGTCTTGAGAAGGCGTTTATACAAGTTAAGCGTGAACTATCATCAGTCCGAGTGTTGCCGCATTTCGGGCCGAGCTTGCGACTTGTGCTCAAAAACTCTCCACAACAGCGTTCGATTAGCTACAGGGTATGATAAATCGCCGTAAAATACGTTGAGAGTGATTTTAAAAATAAAAATTTTGAAAGCAATAAAATAATTATTTTAAAAATAAATATGGTGAAAGTGTGTGCAATAAAAAATTATAAGAAGTTCTTTAAAATTTAGACTGTAGCTATCATGGCGCCACTAAATTGCTTACCTACGTACACTTTTTTTACAGAGTCTGTACTCCTTACCTCTACACTCCATAGTATATAGTCACAGACCACCCAGCCTACGAGACATATAACGAAAGGCGACAAATTTCTGTACTTCATATGCTCAACCAGAGCCTAATTAGTTGAACACGAACACTACCCTGTTTAGTGGGGACCAAACAACAAACCTGTGCACTGCATCACAGACTTGGTTCATAAAAGATAGCTTGATCTCTGCGACAGCTGTCAGTAAAAATCACGCCTATGAAGTCCTGAATTTCTTAGTAGTACAGACAGTACCTGTCAAAGTCATGCACTAATTAGTCAAAGTCATGCACTAATTATAAAGTATAATATCACTAATACGATTCTCTAATTAAATTATAGTTCATAAAAGATAGCTTGATCTCTGCGACAGTTGTCAGCAAAAATCACGCCTATGAAGTCCTGAATTTCTTAGCAGTACAGACAGTACCTGTCAACGTCATACTTTATGGGCATGCCGACCTAATTAGTGCATGCCTGACATTGACAGGTACTGTCTGTAGCTGTCGCAGAGATCAAGCTATCTTTTATGAACTATAATTTAATTAGAGAATCGTAATGGTTTTATGTATGGAGTGTAGAGGTAAGGAGTACAGACTCTGTATAAAAAAGTGTCCGTAGGAAAGCGCTAAATAGGTTGCGCCACTGTAGTTTCGGTCTAAATTTTAAAGTATTTTTTATATCTTTTTATTGCATAATAGACTTTCACCATATTTCTTTTTACAATACCTAATTATTTTATTGCTTTTAAAATTTTATTTTCAAAATCACTCACTACGTATTTTACGGTGATTTATCATACCCTTTGTCTACTCGAGCGCTGTTGTGGAGAGTTTTTGAACTGTTATTTACTGCTTACAGAAGGACACATTTTCAACTATTCTCTTGGGTGAGATTATTCTCTGTCTACGTTGTCCCCCTTACCTCTATACTCCATGGTTTCATGTCTCATCAAAGATGTTTTAGTTCTATATATCTACGCAGTTTATTTTAATATCCATGGAGATTAGAGAACAGAAGAACGATCGCTGTAGAAAATAGTGTCCTAGAAATATGGACAAAATAAGTGAAGCGCTGCGATCGCTGAGTTGTCTTAATAAAAATAAACGCGCGCTGTTGTGCGCGTTTGAAATGGTTATAATATCATTCAAAGAATAAAAAATAACGAAATCATTATTATTTATTATTATTTATGAATAAATAAATTATAAATTATGTTTTTTATAATTTGAATTATTAATTATTTTAATTTTAATTATTATATAAATTATGATTTATTATTCTTTTTTTAAACAGATCACGATTTTATAATGTTTCTTTTTGTCAATAATTAAAAAATTACTTCGCAATACTAGGTACTTACTGACGGCAGTGCGGTTATAAATTCTACAAATTTTTAGGGACAGGCGGGCTATGCTTCAGCACGTAGCGATCGTTCTCATGTTCTCTAACCTCCATGATAATACCTTTGTGTCTCGTACTTTGAGTATAGAAAAGAGTAGTATATTCTATGCTCAAAGGTGTCGTAGGCTGGGTGGTCTGTGTATATAGTGATCTGTGTGTCAAATTTCTGGTAATCTGGTATACTATGCAGTGTGACCATTTGTGGCAGATTTTTGCCATTTTGGCAGATTTGGCACCTAAATTTGAACTCTGGCAGACTAAGCTGACGATTAAAAAAAAGTGGCAGATTTTGACAGATTTGAGATAAATCTTTATTATTTATGGAATACATTTTTGTATACTCGTATTTGTATTTGAAATACTTATAATTTTCCTACAAGAGAACTAAAGCAATAGCGGTAACCTATAATGTTTAAAGCCATATCTAGAAGCAGAGATGCTTGCCAATTTAAAATCATGTGAAAACATAAAAAAAATCGTACAGCAATATTTTCCTTGACTATAGTTGAGACCACAGATGTCACAACACAGTTGGTACCAAATAATATTCCAAAATAGATTCTGGTAAAAAAAAATCTACTTTGGTGGACTTGAATGGAGAATCAGCCTAAGCTTTGTTCGATGCACTTCCCGAGGCTTTTACTAATGCCAAACGTAATATTAAATATATTATTGGTTTCGGGGCTGACACTACTAACGTTAGGTTTGGCAAACGAAGTGGTATAATGGCCAAAATAAGACATATCTATCCCCATAAAAATAAGGAACAGGTACCTAAACAAACAAGTATCCGCTTTAATCACAACACAAATAGGTATAAAAGAAAACGGAGACTGTATCTCTTTCAAACCAAAGAAAGAATTGATCAAAAAGATGTCGTTGAAATCAGTATATAACGAAAATGAAGAGTATGAAGCAAATGTTGAATAATAGAAGGTATCGTATAGTATAGTGAGAATAATAGTGTTGTAAAGTTCTTAAATGAAAAAAAAAGTGAAATATTTTAGAATAAAGAATTTCCTTTGAATGCATAGTATTTTATTTATTCGTACCCATCTCCATGCATGCAATAATATGATGGCATAATTTTGGCATTTTCTGGAGTCGGTTAGGCAGATTTTTTCCAGTGTGTGGCAGATTTGCCACTTTTGAGATGATTACAGCTGGGTTACACTGATATTATTATGGGTATGTTCCGAAATACAACGCAGTGTACTGTCCAATGCAAATGACGTCATGAATCGACGCTATCCTGGTGATTCGTTCTAAAATATTGGACAGTATATGACGTCATACTTTTGCGCCATTTGGAAAAGTGTTGACGATTATTTTGTCATTTTGTGCTCCAAAAATCATTATATCCTCCTAATGGATATACCATCAATTATTCTATAATTTTTTGTATTTGAATAAATAGAAACAAATTCTGGCATTCTTCATTCGGCAAACACACAATTAAAAATTGTTTTATTATGGCCGGATACCCGACACAATATGGCGACGGCACGCTAGTACAATAAAGTGTCAAATGATGACGTCATTTGCATTGGACAGTACACTGGTTGTATTTCGGAACATACCCATTAGCTTGCTACATATTTATTTTTTGATACCATGTTTTAAGTAGCTTGACATATTTATTTTCTATGGTCATAAGTTTGGGTGCGTTTGGCAGAAAGTTGCGCTAGTTTTCGGCCAGGACAGATCTTCAGTAGCTGAAAATCCGCCATTTTGCTTATTTATTTGTTTGTTTTGAAGTAGAGTTTATAGTTGTTTTGTGCAATTATTTAAGTAATATAATGACATGAATAAACATATACATGCTATTGGGGTTTTTATTGAATACTTTACAAACATATATTTTGTTGATTCCCCGGTTAAAATAACATCGTGTCCTAGAGGAAAATGTTGAAGTATCGCCATTTTGCTTAAAAGCACTTGCAGCGTTTTTTCTGCGCATTGTCATGCTGGAATGCTGGAAACAAAAAAAATTATGCATATTTAATTTTTTTTTATTATTAGATATTACTTCTTTTTTAAACAATGTTTTATCTAATAGGTTTAGGTTTAGGTGATGCAAAAGATATTACAGTGAGGGGGTTAGAAATAATAAAAAAATGTGATAAAGTTTTACTTGAAGGTTATACTTCGATACTAACTGTTGGCAAGGATGTTTTGGTGAGACAAATTCTTCTCGACATTATTTTGTCTACCAGCTGTAGACTTGTGATACACTGTAGTAGTAGTAAATATATATATTTGCATTTATCAAGGTGTAATACTACTAATGTTTTTTCTTTTTAATTTTAGGAGGAATTTTATCAGAGACCTTTAATAGTAGCTGACCGAGAACTCTGTGAAAGCAACATAGATGATACTTTAAAAGAAGCCATAGAAAAAGATGTAGCTTTGCTAGTTGTAGGGGATCCATTAGGTGCAACCACCCATACAGATATGCTTCTTCGGGCTAAGCAATTTGGTGTTGAAACACAGGTGGCACTCACTAATTTTGGGTTTTCTTTACAAATTCTACGATTCATTTAAGTTTTCAAACTTTTATGAGGAATAAATCTAGTTTTTGTTAGTCTAATCCTAAAATGTTATATTGTAGAAACACAGATTTTGAGAAAAAATTCTGAATATACAGTTTAGATGCAGAGTCCTGTCTTGAACCCTGCTAGCACCTATGCTAATTGCAACAAAATGTATTTTCCAGATTATCCACAATGCATCAATAATGAATGCTGTTAGTTGCTGCGGGTTACAGTTGTACAGTTTTGGTGAAACTGTATCAATACCTTTTTGGACTGACACATGGAAACCAGACAGCTTTTTTGAGAAAATTTGTGAAAATTTTTCAAGAAATTTACATACCTTATGTTTATTAGGTAAGTTAAGAATTTTTGATTTTTATAGGAAATTTGTCATAATTTATAAATAAGTTATTTCTTAAATTAAGTGAAATTCACAACTATAGTATAAAGACATAAAAACGCACTTAAAATGGTAATATCTAAAATTTCTGATGAAATTATTTTAGGCAAAGTTTTTTTAAGGATTAATAAAGTGATTAATATACATTCTGTATTGAGGCAATGGTCTCCTCTGTTTTCTGAAAGGATTAGTCAAGGGGAGCAATTTGTCAGATTTTCTGCGCGGTGTATTATAAGAAAATGTAAGCTTCCTCACAATGTGTGCTATACCCCAAGCTCAATAAGTACAAATTTGCAAATAATTCTTGGCTTGGAACATTAATTCTGCAAGTGTACCTGACTACTATTTTAATGACCAAGTATCCCTACACTACTCTTGGTGAGAAAAATGAAAATAGACTTTTGCAGTATAGACTATATTGTAGTCTGATAAAAAAATAAAGAATGTAGATATTCTTGGTTAAACAAAAACATCCTCACTTTAAATGTACTTAAAACTAATTATATATGTTTTACCAAATACAAAAACGCGCAGCCTCCAGAGAGCTTTAATATTAAACTACATTATTGTAATAATCATTTGGACACGGATTGTTCTTGTCCTGAGTTAAAAAAGTTTTTAATACAAGATACCTTGGAGTCATGTTGGATCAGCGGTTATCCTGGCATCATCATATAGAGTTACTCATTAGCAGAGTTAGGAAGCTAATCTGGTCATTTAAGACCCTGCGACACGTAGCTCGAATGAGCCTTCTACGTAAAATCTACTGCGCACTTGCCGAATCGGTTATCACCTACTGCATATCAGTTTGGGGAGGTGCGACCAAAACTATTTTCTTAAATCTGGAAAGAGCATAATGGGCTCTTCTGAAAGTAATGTTCTTCCTGCCATACAGATCACCAACGGATAGCTTATATTTAAAAAGGTATCTTATCGCTGTACCTCCTATGTATTGTGACGAGAAAAAACAAGTCAATTTACTACGACCCAGGAAAAAGTAATCGTAGGACGATAGTTAATGTTGTTCCGCAGACTCGGGTTAAATCGGTATTTTCAAAGAGGTAATACAACAGCCAATCTGCTTACATATATAATAAACTTAATAAGAAACTAAATATTTACCCTGTAACATATCTTGAATGTAAAAAAACACTAGAGAAATGGTTAATTACAAAAAACTATGAAGAAATCGAGAGTATCATTCATCGCTCATAAGCGTATCTGAGTACTATGCAGCCTTTGGTGACAGTTATAGAAAGCTATTCATTGAACAATGATAACTTCCGATCCCAAAGCACAGTCGTAGGGCCAATAAACCAATATGTGTTATATTCCACATAATAAAAATATTTTACAAGGTTACATATTCAATACACACACACACACACACACACCCATATTTTGTAACTCTAAAGTCGTACAATAATATAATAATAATCTGCCTGTATTATTTTATACTTCTATAATTTAATAACTAATTTTTATTATTTTTCATCTCAACTTAATGTTATATACCCATTATTAGGAAGAGCGGTGCTTCCTAATAATGTACAAGTACAAGCAAATCATTTGCTTAAAAGGAAGCTCCAACCACAATATCCTATGTAATAGATTTAGTTATGCAATAAAGAATTTGAATTCTAAGCTGAATTTTATCTCAAAGTGCATTTAATCTTCCATTTTAACTAACCACGTAGAGAAACAACCAACATAAAAAACCAAAAGAGCTTCTCTCTTAATGCTTTGTGGCATTTCTTTGTTGAGGACTATGTTCAGCATTGGACTAGTGATGGGATCTATAATGATGATGATGATGATGACTATGAAAATGAGTGAAAATGCTAGGTTAATATACCTTTCTAACAAATATGTGTAAGAATTTGACCATTAAAATTACTGATACTTATAACTCATTGTTGTTTTAGATATTAAAGTTAAAGAGCCAACTGAGGAGTCACTGACTAAAAAAATTCGTCAGTATATGGATCCCAAATTTATGACAGTTCAAGATGCTGCTAAACAATTGGTTCAAATTATAGACAATAAGTTAGATACAGGTATTAGTTTAAGAAATTTCTTCTTTTAAATTTTATTTTAATTTTTCATTTAACAGTTTTTAGTAATTCCCAAATAATTTTTAAATATCCCTGTTCCTTCAGTATTCAGATACAGTTATAGAATTAGAAAAGTATACTAAGAGTAAAAAGTTGGCTGTAGAGACTGTTATTTATTGCAAATTTGATATGTCATACAAAACATTAAATAATTATAATAAATCTCTGTTGATAATAAAAAAACTATAAGGCTAATTAAATAACTAATTTAACAGTAAAGTTAGTGTATTGGTGAAGAAATCACATAAGTGACGCAATATCCACAGCTCTTACAACTTTTCTCTGGCACTTTTCACCTGTCTGCATTCTTAGCTTTTGGGTAACATTGATACTGTGCTAACATGACTAATCATTATACTAATGATATCTGACGTCCTCTTAATATCTGTAACTAGGTTAACGAATCAACTTAATAACAAGACAAATCGAAACTTATCGCCTCAGTATTGGAGGCATTCATTATTCAATTTTTGTCACAGAATATTTTACTCCTGGAAACAAATTTTGCATGTGGCGACTAGGAAAAAGGCCAAATTTACGTTTGCAAAGATAAGGTATTGTCAAGGAGAAAAAGCAAGAAAGTTGATCAGTTGTGTTGGCAGCAAATGTCACATTGAACAATTATTATTATAGTCAACCAAATCTAGGGTATGTTCCGAAATACAACGCAGTGTACTGTCCAATTGGTTGTAGCTGATGTTTATTGATGGTGTATCCATTAGGAGGATATAATGATTTTTGGAGCACAAAATGACAAAATAATCGCCAACACTTTTCCAAATGGCGCAAAAGTATGACGTCATATACTGTCCAATGTTTTGGAACCCAAAATACTATCGTCATGTGCACACTTACCGTCATTTTGACAGCTGTCAGACTTTGCATCAGGCATGCCAACCATAAAAAGGGAACGTACAATATTCGATTCTTATAAAAATCGATATCGATTATTTAGAGTTGGTAATCATTTACAGTTTGGTTTGAATAATAACAAAATAAATTTAAAACGGATAATTTAAAACACGAGATTTATCAGTTTCTACGTATTTGTTGTTAGGTACTGCTTATTTCTAGAGGCACAGCTATAAAAATTTAAGATTATAACTAAATTAAAAATAAATTTATTCAATCACTTTCAGTACAACTAATGCTTTCTTATATTTACGCGAACACTACATATTGATTAAAACTACTTTTATGGATTTTATCGCGTTTAATTTTAATTATTTTTATTTTTAATTCTCGACGTTTCGGGTGTTTTCCAGAACCCATGGTCATGGGGGACTGAGGTGACTGACGTCCCGATGTCATTGTTAAGCCCGAAGTACCCTCAGATTTTTTAATTATTGTTTATAGTCCGAAATGTCGGGAATTAAATATAAAAATAATTAAAATTAAACGCGATAAAATTCGTAAAAGTACTTTTAATCAATGTTTAGTACAACTAGTTGAGCTGTCGTAGTTTGATTTTCAATAATGCAGTCAAAATTAATGTCTTTTCAAAGTCATCCATAGTAATATTTTTGTTTTTTCTACCACTTTTGCCCAATTATTCGAATATTGATGAAACAGTCCAAAAAGTTAAAGCTAAATCACAAAACAAGAAGACAAACACAAAATCACAAAATTACGCACAGTAAGCGCCCGAAATGGCGGGATATTGAAATTACGTAGTGCTTTTATATCGCGGCCTTGTATGTGAGTTTTTTGTCTACACAAATTAAAAAAAAACTAGTTTTATTCATGATTCATGTAATTTAAGGAATTTTAAAAATAAAAATGAAAAAATGATTCGATTATTTGAATATTTTTACCGATTATTGGAATATATTTGTCGATTATTCGCAGAACAATTAATTTTAATGATCCAAACACTACGGCAATGTACATAGCGACATATCATTGAAACGACGTCAGGTACAAAAAGTTGATACTGGTTATTTTTTAATATTTTCCTTCGTTTGAAAGATTCGAATTTAAATTAGTGATAAAATACTACATGTTGTAATGAAATATAGATAACTTTATAATTCTTCGGATTTACGTAAATGGTTATTTTAAATCGTGTGAGTACGCTTGTGCAAAGTTATTACTGAATGATTAATTTGAAACGTCAAAGGTATTTCTTAGATTTGGTTGACTATAAAATCATTGTTATAGCTCTTTTTTTGTGACTTATCTGCTGAGTTCACTGTCTAAATGCTAACACAAGTATCCCTAGTTGCTACTTTATTTAATATTTCATATTGTAATATTTGTTACTTATGTGAAAAGCAACATATTCGATTTAAAAAGTAGGTATCTACCCATGGGCTAATTAAATACCTCAATGTGGTAATTTCGATGCAATGGTATTTGAATTATATGACTTAAAAGGGTTATAGATCTATAGGTGTTTGGAAAGAAGATATATAAAGGTCAAACTCAAAGTATTGGTTTCTGTCATGGTTCAGCAGTGCATTGATCAAAAACTTAAAAGGGAAAGACTGATTTTGCTATAGATAGTACATTTGGTTTCTCGTTTATAGATAATGTTGTCATGAACTGTATAATAAATGCAAGAAATATTATAATCTAACAATTGAATTAAATATTACGAAAATCCCAAATATTTGTAAAATTGCTTTGAGGATAAGTGTGGAGCATGTTCACAAATATCTAACAAAATGCACTTGTACACCATTACTACACTATGTGGAACAGATATCGCTGACTTATTTGCCTTTCTTTTCTTTAAAATTATGCTAAAGAATATGTTCAATCTCAACATGTCTGCAAATTTTCTTCGCCAAAAACTTATTAAAAAAACATTGATTAAAATAATGAGATTTTTATACTCTCTCCCTGTGTAAATTTTGTCTTACTATTTTCAGGTATCAAGAGAACAAGTATTGCTGTAGGCCTTTCCAGGGTTGGTGCGCCAGATCAACGAATAGCAGTGATGAGTTTAGAAAAAATGCTAAATTTAGACCTTGGACCACCTCTTCATAGCCTAGTTATACCCGCTCCAAATTTACATCCCTTAGAAATTGATTATTTGGAACAATTTAGATAGCTACTAAGGATTATTGTTCACAATCATAAAGTGAATATTGAAGAAAGATTATTAAAATATTAACGTTATAAACGATATATTGGCATTTTATTCAGTTCAGTACAAGTTCATCAATTAACTTTACATGAGTCTATCTCATAAAAATAACTTTTATGTTAAAATTGTATTTGTTTCACGAAAGTGTCGGCTTTTTAAGTATAAATACAATTTTATACACTATTGTACTATAAGAAGAACTAAGATATATACTTTTATTTTATCAAATATAATTATGTTTTTACTAAGTTTATTTATTTATTCTTTGTTGAGCAACAGTAAAAAAGTAGTCAAGATTACGGGAACGTAAAATGATTTTTTAAAAACTATTTAAAATCTATTTTATTTCTTAATGCAATTATAATTATAACTACTTAATTAATACGTCTTGACAGAAGTCGATGTCAGAATGAAGTGGCCGCTCCCATGACCTCTGCCTGATACCTCATGCAACCAAAAGTTCTGACTCTACAGTTACTGGATACTGTCTAATGCTTATGCAGCCCCCTCTAAGTACGAACCGTAACAACCCTATGGTATTGTGGTTGCATAACTCCTCCCTCTCCAAGAGCGGAATTATCGGCTGCAGTGTTTTCAGCTGTTGTCCGATGATTCCGCCATCTGTTAACTAAATTACTTTTACATTTTCTTAAAACACTAAGGAAAATAACAATAGGTAAAATAACATACAGTAATAAAGTAGCTAACACCTCTGAGCCTTATCACACTATTATCACTTTGTTCACTGCCACTGAATTTAAGATTTTGATTCAACACATATGCTAGATGTTTCAGGTCGTCTAAGGCTAAGCCTTTCAGGTTAACTGCTCCAGTATCCGTCAGGTTCAGGTGATCCAGTCTTGGTAAGTTTATTACTGGGATCACTCTATAGCCCAGTTCCTTAGCAAAGTATAAGTGGTGCAACAATTTATAATTATCTATGAAGGTCTCACAATCCTCACTAATTTTTATGATGTATGTGCCCAAAAGTGATTCTTTAGTTATGTCATCCTGGCATTTGTTTCTTAATATTATTTTATGGTTGGCGTATAAAATCCAATTTACATGGCCGATAGACTCCCCCCGAACGGGCCGTGGCTTGGTCACTCACGGCGAAACAAAGAGGAACCCATATGGCTGGTCCGAGGTGGAGGGCCGGCCCGAGGTGGCCACTCCGAGCGGGCTTGGGAAGCCCACTTCGGATGTGTGTTGGTGGACTGCGGTGAGAGGTGTGTCCTCCCCACCTACCGCTGCAGCCTAGGTGGAGTCGCGGAGGGAGAGGAGTGTTGGTATGGCGATGCGCCACTCGCCCTATCCTCCGCGACTCAAACGGGGCCGCACCGTTGATGCGGTGGTAATGGGGCTGCGGGGGGGAGAGGATTGTCGGTATTGCGAGGCGCCGCTCTCCCTATCCTCCGCAGCCGAATCTTGGTTGGCGGCGGAGCCATAGACCAGATCCGCCGCTGGGGTCGGGAAGGCTAGTACTAATAAGTGCTCGTTTTTCCTGGCCCCATGGCCTTCGCGCATCGGACGCGGGGGCGTCTGTTGCGCAGATGTAATTGGAGGCCGTGGAGGAAGGCGTGCCATGTGTTCTGGTGCGCCTTACTTGGGAAGGAGAACGGGGAGGAATATTCCTCTCCCGATGAGGTGCTGCCATGGGGCGGCAGTCGCTGGTGGGGCCGCGGATGTGTGCGAAAGCGTTCCCGTAGCCCTGCCAATATGCGACGAAGGTGGAACACCATGGGGTTTTAGTCGGTGCGAGTCCGACATAACCCGCCCTTGCCCCCGCGAGGCGGGTATGCGTAGGCATTTCCCCATGTTAAAAAAAAAAAAAAAAGAAAAGGGCCGATAGACTGGATTTTGACATCCTCAAGATCAACGAGCCGAGGTTCGCATAGTGTGAGATTGTTTTGGAATTTCATGAGTTGTTCAGCACATGTGTTTCTAGGATAGGACACCATGGTGGAGCTCATACACAGAAATTCATCCGCCGCTATTTCCAGGCACGTCCGGGAGACCGGTAAGTATTGTGAACCTTTCACCAAAGTGTAAGGATACTTGGGAATTATTACAGACGTTCTGTTTCTAAGTGCATCGAATACAGGTAATGGGTATAATTTGTAATAATTGTAATTAAAACTATCAGTAAGTGGAACTTCCATCAAGTACGTAATCTGGTTTGCTTTCATGTAAGCTTTTATAACAATAGTTCTTTCAATCTTCACTAAATTCTCTACATTTACAGGGTACACTAGGTTATCGACTTTGGCAATATCATTAAGTATCACTAACAGTTCAGATGAATTAATAATTGATTGGTGTATATATTGAAACTTTACTAAAAGCTAAAGCAGTTTCTACTTCACTAAGTTTAAGGTAAATACTACGAAAGTTACTAATGAACATATTATACATGCCTAAAATATACGTGTTATAAATTGAATTATTGTCTTTGGTAGCTATGTATTTTACTATTCGTTCAATTCTTTTTAAGCGTTCATCTAATATAAGTTCATTTTCATGTAAAGTTTCTGTACTATTTGCCAAGCTATTCAGCATTTTAGAAACAACGGTGATTTTATTATCAACACTTAATTGGTTGTTCTTTAATTTAGATATAACGGAATCGTATCTAAGAGCATCTTCGTGATCTAAATTGCCGGTGATTGCTTTAATGATTGATCCTAGGGGATCTATGAGACCTCTTTTAAATCTATTGGATGGTACAAGTTGCTTAAATTTTTCAATAGTTAAATCGCAAGAATAATCAGCTTGGGTTTTCATGGCTTGGAATTCATAAGCATAAGGTTTATTTATATCAATTAACCTACTAAAATCTTTAAACTTAATAATATTTAAATCTAAATTTTCCTTAATTCCTAATAAGTTCACTTCTTTAACTATAAGCCACCTGCTTGTTTGCTTATAAGCTTGGCCTTCTTTTACAGGAAGCAGGCCAGGGTTGCTGTCAATTTTTTGAAGTTGAAGACTGCGGGTCCAAAGTATATGAGCCATAGTCAGGATGGCCACGCACCACCTGTGGAGGTCGTTTGAAATTTTTAATAGGGACCTTTGTATCCCGTTCACCTATTTTAACAGGAACGATATTACGTTCTGCAGGACCTTGAATAACAGCTTTCCTGTACCTAGGTTAGTCCTAACTTTTCCTAATATTGATGTCCTTTACGTACGCTATTTGCCCTTCGTTGAGTACTACCTTAAGCTCTCGCATTAGTTCATTGTTAAACTTTTTTACAGGGTCGCAAGTTCTTTTTAGGTACACCATAGAATGAAAAGTACTTTATAAGGGCTCGAACTACCTCAGGTGTGGATCTGTTTCAGATTTCAAATGCTTGACCTAATTTACTAAAAGCATCGATTAAGAAAAGATTTATTTTCTATAGAAAAAAGATCTATAAAAACTTCCTGAAAAGGAGAATTCTGGGTCTGTGTTAATTGCGAAACCGGTTTAATTGGTTTTCTATCATATTTTGAAATTTTGCAGGTATGACAATTATCAATTACGGCCGAAACTGTTTCCTGCATATTATCCCAAAAGATGTTCCTACGTATGCTTACCATGGTTTCCTTTATACCACGGTGACATGTTTTACCCTCGTGATGTTTAAGGATTATTTCCCTCTGTTCGGCCTCGTCTTCGACATATACGACACGTTCTGTAAACTCGAAGAATTCTACAGTGTCCTTTTTAAATAGTTCTATGATAATCTTGGAAAATTGTTTTCTATGTGATTCGTCCTCAAAGTAAATGAAGTATTTAATCTTTGGTTTTACATATTCTTTTAAAAATTGTTTAATTAAGTTTTCATTATTGATAGATAAGAACACTTCTAAAATTTTGTGTTTTTTATTTGAAATATCTTTGACTTGCATTTCATTTCTAAACCAAGTGAATATAAGTATTTGATTAGGCTTAGTATCTACAGCTTCCTTTAATATAGGTATACTTGTAGATTCTAATTCTAACGCTACGTGTACTGTTTCTGTGCTAACAGATGGTACGGGATAGGTTTGGTCTGTCATATCTATTGGATCAGATGCTGAAAGAGTAGCTGATAGGTCAGACACAGTTATTGTATCGGAGTTCTCATTTGGTTTATTAAGCTTTGCTATACGGTAAATTTCGTCAGTCAAGCTGTCTACATAGTTTTTAAGGTTTTTGTCTGTATCGTCTACGTTCACTTGCATCGAATCAGTATCGTCGTCGGAACCTAATTCGTTTAGTTTGATACGAGATAGGGTGTCAGCGTTAGTGTTCTGCTTTTTTTTTTGTTTTTTTGAACGTTTTAAATTTTTGTAAGCGTAGTCGTCATCTTGTTAATTTACTATTTGGTTCTTTGAGTGCATAAAGCCAGGCAAGAGGTCGGTGATCAGTATATACGTAAAATTTTTGTCCGTACAGATAAGGTCGGAAATATTTAACTGCCCATATAATGGCCTTAATGGTTCACGTTCGTGATTGTGCTATACTTTGTTTCAGTGTCACTTAGGGTACGACTGGCATAGGCGACTGGTTTTTCAGAACCAATTGCCCCTTGTGACAACATGGCGCCTAATGCGACAGAGAACGCATCTGTTGTAAGTATGTAGGGTTTAGATGGGTCTAGGTATTGTAAAAGAGGTGCATTAATAAGTAATTCTTTACATTTCTCAAATGCTTCTATATATCATTTGTCGATAATAATTTTATTTCTTTTCTTTAAGCAAGAAGTAAGGGGTTGAGTTATTTTTACGAAATCCCTAATGAAACGACGGTAATAACGTATGACTCCCAAGAAACTTTTTATTTCAGTGGTAGTTTTCGGAAGTGAGTAATTAATTATTGCTTTTACTTTATCGTCGTTTGATTTAAGTCCATCTTTGGTAATACTATGACCTAGATAGAGGACTTCTTTCCGCAAAAACTCAGATTTATCAAGTTGCACCTTAAGGTTAGTCTGTCG